GGTTTACGAACCTTAACAGAAAACGATAAAAATGTTGTAATATATAGGGTAAACTACTACAAACAGGATTGATAGAGTCCACCACAACGGATTGGTACGGTGTCCACTAACACCTATAGGATGGGAATGGGACCTACTACCGCAAACAGGATAGGTATGGATTCAATGCCACCAATATGACTGGTATGGGGTCCACTACCGCCCACAGGATGGGTATGGGGTCCACTACCACTCACAGGATGAGTATGGCGTCAACTATACCCCCCCCCCCACAGGATGGGTATGGTGTCCACTACCACTCACAGGATGAGTATGGGGTCAACTATACCCCCCACAGGATGGGTATGGGGTCCACTACCACCCACAGGATGGGTATGGGGTCCACTACCACCCACAGGAAAGATATAGTGTCCAATAGTCGACCGATCTTACCACATATATCACTTGGAAGAGGTTAAGATAAAGATTTGGAATGAGGTGGGGGGGGGGGGGGTGGGAGGGGGGAGGAATGATGCCCAGTCACTTGGACGATCGGGGATTGAACACCGACCTGCATAAAGGGAGACTGAAGACAGGGATCGAAATAATATGACAAAAAAAGATTATCATATAATTTATTTATTGTATAAGAGACATAATCATAATCTATGTACAAAACATATGGCACGAGTCAAAAATGCGAACCAGAGAAGTCGGTAGTGTAGATACAATAGACAGACAAGCAGATAGACAGAGAGAGACGCCTTCTGATTGCCCTTGTTGTATGAAACGAACTTAAATAAAAGTAAATATCTAATACAAAAATAAAACATGTTTCACATCTAAATCATTCATTTTCCTCATTAATTTATTTATTATACAGACATTAGAGCAGTGAGGCAGACCATGAATGATGAAGAGAGAGAGAGAGGAGAGAGAGAGAGAGAGAGAGAGAGAGAGAGAGAGAGAGAGAGAGAGAGAGAGAGAGAGAGAGAGGAGAGAGAGAGAGAGAGAGAGAGAGAGAGAGAGAGAGAGAGAGAGAGAGAGAGAGAGAGAGAGAGAGAGAGAGAGAGAGAGAGAGAGAGAGAGAGAGAGAGAGAGAGAGAGAGAGAGAGAGAGAGAGAGAGAGAGAGAGAGAGAGAGAGAGAGAGAGAGAGAGAGAGAGAGAGAGAGAGGAAAAGGATGCTTATAATTGGCTATGAAGATGAATGGTTACAAGGGGGGATAGTGTAGTGAGGGTAGAGGAAAGGGGGGTAGATGAAGGGGTGACACCTATATGGATGGATTCATCCCATTAGGGGAAAGGGGGAATACCACCTATAGGGGAGAAAAGGGGTGCACATGCTAGAGTAGGGAAGGAAGCTCCACTCACGAGGGAAGTAAACATCCTTCCCCTACCCCTACTAGGGGAGAAGAGCCCCACATGTAGGGAAGTACCTCCTAGGGGAGGGGAAGCACCCCTTAGGGGGAGGAGATCACTTCCTAGGGAAAGAGAAGCACCACCTAGGGGTATAATGTGTATTAAAATATGACCACACAGCGTGCTAGAAGGTGACCACACACTGTGCTAGGAGAAAGTGACCACACAGTGTGCTAGGAGAAGATGACCACACAGTGTGCTAGGAGAAAGTGACCACACAGTGTGCTAGGAGAAGATGACCACACAGTGTGCTAGGAGAAAGTGACCACACAGTGTGCTAGGAGAAAGTGACCACACAGTGTGCTAGGAGAAAGTGACCACACACTGTGCTAGGAGAAAGTGACCACACACTGTGCTAGGAGAAAGTGACCACACACTGTGCTAGGAGAAAGTGACCACACAGTGTGCTAGGAGAAAGTGACCACACACTGTGCTAGGAGAAAGTGACCACACAGTGTGCTAGGAGAAAGTGACCACACAGTGTGGTAGGAGAAAGTGACCACACAGTGTGCTAGGAGAAAGTGACCACACAGTGTGCTAGGAGAAAGTGACCACACACTGTGCTAGGAGAAGATGACCACAGTGTGCTAGGAGAAAGTGACCACACACTGTGCTAGGAGAAAGTGATCACACACTGTGCTAGGAGAAAGTGACCACACAGTGTGCTAGGAGAAAGTGACCACACAGTGTGCTAGGAGAAAGTGACCACACAGTGTGCTAGGAGAAAGTGACCACACACTGTGCTAGGAGAAAGTGACCACACACTGTGCTAGGAGAAGATGACCACAGTGTGCTAGGAGAAAGTGACCACACACTGTGCTAGGAGAAAGTGACCACTCAGCATGCTAGGAGAAAGTGACCACTCAGCATGCTAGGAGAAAGTGACCACTCAGCATGCTAGGATAAAGTGACCACCTCGAACGAAGATCAAATAACTCACAACCCAATAAAGGTATACTTGACACAAACAGATAATGAGAATCCGTCAGAAAGAGAGATAAAACAGAAGGCAGATGAAGAATGCATGAAAATGAGGTAATAGACATACATAGATTATACATAACGAGTTGCCTTAAAATTGCTGAGGTTATACAATGGGATCGAACTCGCTTCCCTGGGGCTCTCCCAGACATTATTATTATTCCATGGGATTTTGATGGCCTACGTGAGAGTCAAATATATGTAAGTCAAATATATGTAAGTCAAATATATGTAAGTCTCGGCCTACTCACTTTTTGAACGTCACATTGAATACATTTGTCACTTCTACGTTCAATATAAGTTCACCTGAACAAATGAACACAATGGTCAATGATTTTTATCATATGTAATCATACTTTTGTTCACAGCTTGAGGCTGGAATACCAGGTATAATGATATACCTTTTATCATTATACTGATAAAATGATATACCTTTTATCATTATACTGATAAAATGATATACCTTTTATCATTATACTGATAAAATGATATACCTTTTATCATTATACTTATAAAATGATATACCTTTATCATTATACTGATAAAATGATATACCTTTTATCATTATACTGATAAAATTATATACCTTTTATCATTATACTGATAAAATGATATACCTTTATCATTATACTGATAAAATGATATACCTTTTATCATTATACTGATAAAATGATATACCTTTATCATTATACTGATAAAATGATATACCTTTTATCATTATACTGATAAAATGATATACCTTTTATCATTATACTGATAAAATGATATACCTTTATCATTATACTGATAAAATTATATACCTTTTATCATTATACTGATAAAATGATATACCTTTTATCATTATACTGATAAAATGATATACCTTTTATCATTATACTGATAAAATTATATACCTTTTATCATTATACTGATAAAATGATATACCTTTTATCATTATACTGATAAAATGATATACCTTTTATCATTATACTGATAAAATTATATACCTTTTATCATTATACTGATAAAATGATATACCTTTTATCATTATACTGATAAAATGATATACCTTTTATCATTATACTGATAAATGATATACCTTTTATCATTATACTGATAAAATGATATACCTTTTATCATTATACTGATAAAATGATATACCTTTTATCATTATACTGATAAAATGATATACCTTTTATCATTATACTGATAAAATGATATACCTTTTATCATTATACTGATAAAATGATATACCTTTATCATTATACTGATAAAATGATATACCTTTTATCATTATACTGATAAAATGATATACCTTTTATCATTATACTGATAAAATGATATACCTTTTATCATTATATTGATAAAATGATATACCTTTTATCATTATACTGATAAAATGATATACCTTTATCATTATACTGATAAAATGATATACCTTTTATCATTATACTGATAAATGATATACCTTTTATCATTATACTGATAAAATGATATACCTTTCATCATTATACTGATAAAATGATATACCTTTTATCATTATACTGATAAAATTATATACCTTTTATCATTATACTGATAAAATGATATACCTTTTATCATTATACTGATAAAATGATATACCTTTTATCATTATACTGATAAAATTATATACCTTTTATCATTATACTGATAAAATTATATACCTTTTATCATTATACTGATAAAATGATATACCTTTTATCATTATACTGATAAAATGATATACCTTTTATCATTATACTGATAAAATGATATACCTTTTATCATTATACTGATAAAATTATATACCTTTTACCATTATACTGATAAAATGATATACCTTTTATCATTATACTGATAAAATGATATACCTTTTACCATTATACTGATAAAATGATATACCTTTTATCATTATACTGATAAAATTATATACCTTTTATCATTATACTGATAAAATTATACACCTTTTATCATTATACTGATAAAATGATATACCTTTTATCATTATACCTCAGAACGAGTGAACAATCTGTTCAATGATTTTTTTTACATTCAAAACTTGTTCAGAAGCATCTCCTTCTCAACGCTTCTGCGCAAGTGCATATAATGTTCAGTGACTTCTACGGCATATCTTCACCACAAACCTTCCTAAGGAAACATCCCGGACGTAAGTTCGATCCCGCATCACGGCCCCTCGTGGATGTGTTCTTCCTAAGGAAAGTTGGTACAATCCCCGACCAAACTGACTTAAATCTGTTGAAGAGGAAGAAAACGAGATTTTTTTTATAATTGCCTAATTGTCGAACAACTTCTCCTTAGCAGCCGGTGGCTGAGTGGACAGAACACTGGGCGCGTGATCCCGGGCGCCGGCGAGAAACAATGGGCAGAGTTTCTTTTACCCTGATGCACCTGTTACCTAGCAGTAAAATAGGTACCTGGGTGTTAGTCAACTGTCACGGGCTGCTTCCTGCGCGGTGAAGGCCTGGTCGAAGACCGGGCCGCGGGGACACTAAAAGCCCCGAAATCATCTCAAGATAACCTCAAGAAGATACCCTGATGCTCCTGTTATCTAGCAGTAAATAGGTACCTGGGAGTTAGTCAGCTGTCAGGAGCTGCTTCCTGTGGGGTGGTGGAGGCCTGGTCGAAGACCGGGCCGCGGGGACACTAAAAGCCCCGAAATCATCTCAAGATAACCTCAAGTAGATAACAGAGTGCTATCGACATCAAATGACTCTTAAACACGGCACAAGACGACATTTTCGCTACATAATTTACACGAATCAATCTCACTGTAACCTAACACTGACAGCAACATTAATCTGTATCACATATATTACATAGAGTCTAAAATATTAACAAAGAAATGAGTTTTATTGACTATGCTGCTACCTTTTTTGTGGCCCGTTTAAGTCAACGATTCTAAATGAATCATATAGCTGAACGTTCAGACATACACAGTTATAATTGGACGAGTTTAATTGGCTAGCAGTAAAGTAATTTAGTTTGACAAACAATTTGACATTCAGTAAATAATTATATCCAATCTTTATAATATGTTTAGTGCGTTGTAAATGCTCCATCAGAACCTTCATAAGATTTATAGGTGTTTTATCTACGTCAACGAGATTGTTCCAAAGTGAACACAAAACAGCTGGCAAATAGCACCAGCTGTTGATACTCAATCACTATCACAAGATTCACACCAAAGTCAACACTCACTGGCCAGCACCAGCTGTTGTGACCTTCTATAGTGATAAACATCACCATCTGTGCTAATAAACATCACCATCTGTGCTAATAAACATCACCATCTGTGCTAATAAACATCACCATCTGTGCTAATAAACATCACCATCTGTGCTAATAAACATCACCATCTGTGCTAATAAACATCACCATCTGTGCTAATAAACATCACCATCTGTGATAATAAACATCACCATCTGTGCTTATAAACTGTTATTTTTTCTGTTGTAATAAAGTGACATGTCTAGAAATGATATATTTAGAATTGACAGGTTTAGAAATGACATACATAGAACTGACATATCTTGGACTGTCATGTCTATAACTAACATGTTTTGAGATAACATGTTGTGAACTTGACACGATGTTTCACTGGACACACTGATGCAGTTGGCACACTAAAACAGTTGACACAAACAACTGTTATCGTCGTAGTAAGGTTTCTGCAAAGGTGATTAACACTACTCTCGGGTCATCCTCATTATCCCAAACATTATCACTCTCATTATCTGTATTCTCAAAAACAATCAGTTGTGTAACATTATCATCCTCGATCACTGTTATTGTAACAATCAGCAGCATAATTGTCATTATTCTCACCATTAACGTAGTATCAAATAGTCATTTGCGTTACTAATGTCATCACTGTAACTCGTTCACAGAAACAAAACCCAAATGGACTTTTGGGTTTTGCTAATTAGTGATTAGAAATCACTAATGATATAGTGACTTGTAATCACTATTCCATTTTGTCCTTAAGCACAATAACATGCAAAATTTTTAGCTAATTTAGTATATTGTGTTATCTTAAAAGAATGGTTGAATTACTACTAATTTATAATTTCTTAATCGTTGAATTGGCATAGAAATATAGTTACTTACAAACTTTACATAAACGTACTGATGCCACTACGCTAAAAAGACATTTAAATAATCTGTTACAATATTTACTAATTTTTAAAATTATTTTCTTTTTTTTATACATATTGATCTTACTTTTTTTATATATAATAACTGTACAGCATTATATTAATATTTATAATTATAATGATAAAATCACCTTGTAATAAGCTTTTACACATAAAAGTTTAAGATTGTTTTTTTTATGTTATTTGTTTTAATATTTCTTAAGTCAATGCTTTGATAATATTTCTCCTGAGTATTATTGGGCAGGAGATTGCTCCTTGAACACAAAATTTTTGGTCGATGTATATTATATATATTGATGAAATTGCAAGTTTCTTGTTGGAACCGTTGCCGCGTTTTCTTTGAGGATTTCCCCTAACCTTCATTGCAATTAAATAATTGCTTCCCCATACGTGCCTTTTGTTTTCTAAAGGCGGCGACTTTGTTCAACTATGTTCTGGCCAAAATATAAATATTTTCCTAAATATATTTATATTTTATTTCAAAGACATCAATTTTAAGAAATAAAGATTCCAGCTTCTCGTTTTCTGTGTTGCTACTCGACATGTGGGGTACACGTTCGATCCAGAACTTAGATTTTTATGATAGTTTCTCCAAGTCCAACATTAATTCCAAGTGTTGGGTAACTCAAGTGTTACTACAAGTGCGGCAGCAAAGTGTATTGTAGTACTTGAGTCTACACAGCCTCGCTCGGAACACAAGATGGCAGTTCTTAATTCGGTCAATACAGGCTGTGAAGAAAATGTATGCATTTATATATAACGATATGGGAGACTTAAATAAACCGTGCAATTATTTGTAACATAATTTAAGACTTTCAATAAATAATTCATTTTTCAGCAACATTTATTACAGTTGAGGAAAGCGTGAGTATATTATAGAGACATATACAATGCAGAACTTTAGTGAATAATTTAGATATGAAGATATAAGTAGGGAAGCTAATCTTTTAAGTAAACGTAAGATTTTGAGTTATCAGTTGATATGAGTGTAGATGTGATTAAATGTAAGTGAGATTTGATTGTTACTCGGTAAGTGAATATAAGTATAAGATACTAATATACCTCAGAGTGTAGTCATGTACGAATATAAGTGTGAAGTATCAGTGTTCCTCAATGTGTATGTGTTAAGTGAATGTAAGTAAACATGGAGCCTTACCGGGTTTGTCAATATCTGGAGAGCCACTTACGGAGACTTCTCTTGACCCAGCTCCTCCGTTATCGTCTCTGCCCCTATTCATCTTATCCTTCTTCTTCTTCTTCTTCTTCTTCTTCTTCTTCTTCTTCTCCTCCTCCTCATCTTCAACGTCCTCTCTCTCACTCTCGTCCTTGTCGTCTGAGACAGACTCGTCCCCCTGAGCGTCTTTGTCCGGAATGACGTTAAGTGCGCTACCTGTCGGCTCCTCCACAATCAGTTCGTTCTCTTCCTCCCCCGCCACCACCTCCTCCTGGGCCGTAGGACCTTCGTCAGCAGTCTGGACTACACTGACGGTCTTCACGTCCTCGTCAGGCTTCGTTATCGCCGGACCCTCAACCCCCTCAGCGCCGCCCTCGTTGCCTCCTGCTTCTAAAACAACAAGGCAGCAGTAAAACTAAATAAGTAATCTGATGTTATGCTTGATATAATGACTTAAATTATTCTGTCGTGATTGCATTATGACTTAAATTATTCTGTCGTGATTGCATTATGACTTAAATTATTCTGTCGTGATTGCATTATGACTTAAATTATTCTGTCGTGATTGCATTATGACTTAAATTATTCTGTCGTGATTGCATTATGACTTAAATTATTCTGTCGTGATTGCATTATGACTTAAATTATTCTGTCGTGATTGCATTATGGCTTAAATTATTCTGTCGTGATTGCATTATGACTTAAATTATTCTGTCGTGATTGCATTATGACTTAAATTATTCTGTCGTGATTGCATTATGACTTAAATTATTCTGTCGTGATTGCATTACTGCAACGTTATAGCAACGCTAAACTAGCCAACAACGTTATAACAACGCAAAACTAGCCAACAACGTTATAGCAACGCTAAACTAGCCAACAACGTTATAACAACGCTAAACTAGCCAACAACGTTATAACAACGCTAAACTAGCCAACAACGTTATAGCAACGCTAAACTAGCCAACAACGTTATAACAACGCTAAACTAGCCAACAACGTTATAACAACGCTAAACTAGCCAACAACGTTATAGCAACGCTAAACTAGCCAATAACGTTATAACAACGCTAAACTAGCCAACAACGTTATAGCAACGCTAAACTAGCCAACAACGTTATAACAACGCTAAACTAGCCAACAACGTTATAGCAACGCTAAACTAGCCAACAACGTTATAACAACGCAAAACTAGCCAACATATTGTAGTTACGTTGGCTTATAAATTTTGAGTTTATGAGTTTTACAAAGATAATTCTTCTTCTATTATTCCATGACGCTACGTCCCGCCAAACACACACCGAAACTACGACGTTGGTACAACGTTCGAACAAGTTTTAACACCTCCTAACCAGTTATAACAACCAATATAGCAAGTTGTAACAACGTTCTAATACGTCATAAACACGTTAAGCCAAGATGTAACAACTTTATTACAAGTTGTAACAAGAGGAAAATAAAGACAGTTTCGGTTTGTTTCCAGGGAAGTCACAGGTAATATCATCAGAGTTGTGCTCCTCGTGCAGGAATGAAGAGGAATTGATAAGGAATTGATAAGGAATGTAGTGCCGCATCGTATAAATATATATATACAACAAATTAACGTTGGAAAAGTCACAAATAATTGATCTTCACCTGCAAGTGTTGGTTTTAATCTTGTTGCAAATTTTCTTATTAGGAGTAAATTGATCCCCCTAGACATTGAAATTGAGAAATATTTCTTGATTCCATTAATCGTGTTTTAACGTAATAATTGATCTTTAAGATTAGTTTGCCATAATCCAAATCAACATTATGGCCAGATCTTAAAGGGGGCATTATCAGAATACTGAGTCGTTAGGAAGATAAGAACATAAGAATGAAGGAAATAACGCCTATTGGCCCATACATGGCAGCTCCTATTTATGTCCACCCAACTCATTCATATTTGTCTAACCTACGCTTGAAACAATCAAGGGATCCCTCGTCTATTATGTTACCCGGTAATTGGTTCCACAAAGTACAAACGTCACTACACCAGCCTGTACCAGGTACAGGTCTGTACCAGTCAGTATAAGATACAGGGGCCAGATTCACGAAGCAGTTACGCAAGTACTTATGAACGTGTACATCTTTCCTCAATCTTTGATGGCTTTGGTTACATTTATTAAACAGTTTACAAGCATGAAAACTTCCCAATCAACTGTTGTTATTGTTATAAACAGCCTCCTGGTGCTTCGCAGCTCATTAACTGTTTAATAATTGAGCGAGTCATCAAGTTTCTGTGGATCCCCTCCCATGTTGGAATATGTGGAAATGAACGAGCAGATGTGCTGGCTGCTGAAGGCGCTGAAGGAGACCATATTGAATACTTCATACCCAAGACTCAACTACAAATTAGAGGTATTATCAGGCAACATCACCGTGACAAGGTAACTGAGGAGAGGAGGATAGAAGCACAAACCAGTGAATCTGTACGATGGTACAACATGGTTGCAGCTGGCAATCCCAATCATTATGGCCGAAGAGGAGGACGACGAGGGAGAGAATCAGTAATAACGAGAATCCGTCTTGGATACAAATATCCATGGAGATTTGGAATGGAAACAACAGTTGATCAGCGAAGTTGCAGAATCTGTGGTGAGAGTGATGGACACCGCCTTGACCACTATCTACGTGAATGTGAACACCTGAGAGACATTAGAAATATGTGTAGAATAATAAACCCCACATTGTTTGAGTTAGGAAAACATTATTTGTCAAATATTGATACTGTTCTTAAAAGATTTCCCCATTTTGCACCCGCAAGATAACGTAAGCTTTTAAGGGTTGATAAATGTTAATCTTTTTGTTTGAGGAGCTGTTCACTTGAGACAGTTAAGCAAGTCCCAGCTGTGCCTGGGTACAAGTGACAGGATGAACAACCCAGCGGGTTTTCTTCCTATTGGGGAGTGTTGTACATTCTGCTATGGCGGTATGTTCACTCACAAGATGAGTGGCGCTGCCCAATAAACTCGCCCCTCGGGGCAAAATTTAAATTTAAAAAAATTGAACACAATGTCGCCAAAAATTGAGAAAAGATGTACAGGTTCGTAAGTGTTTGCGTAACTGCTTCCTGAATCTGGCCCCTGGTCTGTACCTGGTTGATACCTGGTTGATAGGGTTCTGGGAGTTCTTCTACTCCCCAAGCCCGGCCCGAGGCCAGGCTTGACTTGTGAGAGTTTGGTCCACCAGGCTGTTGCTTGGAGCGGCCCGCCGGCCCACATACCCACCACAGCCCGGTTGGTCCGGCACTCCTTGGAGGAATAAATCTAGTTTCCTCTTGAAGATGTCACCCAGTCACCCAGAGAAAAAAGAACAGGTAGATGACGTAACTAAATCAAAATTCTCACCGGCATCAGGATTCACCCCGGTCTGCGTAGCCCCAGTAGCAGTGTGTTGCTGCTGCTGCTGCTGCTGTTCTCTGCTGAGGGAGGTGTTGCAGGAGTGGAGGTGGCAGGGCTGGCGGGTGTCGGGCCTGGTGGCGTTGTAGCAGTCTGCTGAAGGTCTCTGGCTGGTGTCCAGGCACGTCACCTCCCGTCGCCTGATCCCTCCCTCGCAGGACGCTGAACACTACAGGTAAGAGGAACCAAAAAGGAAACACACGGAGAAGGATTGGTATGAAACCTAACTTATGCTTATTGGTGCCTTCTCGCCATGCCACTGTGAGTGGGGGGATTGGTGCCCTGAAGCTACATAAACAACCTATACCCCCCCCCCCCCCCCCGAAGTGGCAAGGGGATTTAGGGGAGTCAACAATTACGCTATTTCTCATAAGAAATGCACATACAGACGATAATATTAAACTTCGTGACGAATCAGAGTCGCCAATCACCACACCTGCTACACCTGTATTCGGTGTGATGTACACCTGTAGTACATACATGGGACCACTCAGAGGCATACACTCCTTATTCAAGACCCGTCGAAAGCTACTATAGGCCGTAGAAATCAAAGGCATCCCACTTACCTGGAACCAATCATCAGAAAGCCCCTTCACTCATCGGAACCAATCAGAGATACTACCACCCCTACCCCTCTCCCCACTCACCTGGGACCACTCAGAAGTGTACCACTCAGGTGTACACGATTGAAGGATGCACTCCCGGGAGTCCTGGGGCCTGGACTCTACTTCGCAGTGAGAGTCCTGGGTCGTCCGCCACCGCTGACGACTGAACACCACACAGAGCACAGAGCGAGTCTCCCTGCCAGCACCACACTCCACACTACACGCACTCCACGGGCCTGTTGAGGAACGGCGGCAGGTCCCAGAGAGATGAAGGTCCCAACAGGAGGTCCCAGAGAGAGGAAGGTCCCAACAGAAGGTCCCAGAGAGAGAGAGAGAGAGAGAGAGAGAGAGAGAGAGAGAGAGAGAGAGAGAGAGAGAGAGAGAGAGAGAGAGAGAGAGAGAGAGAGAGAGAGAGAGAGAGAGAGAGAGAGAGAGAGAGAGAGAGAGAGAGAGAGAGAGAGAGAGAGAGAGAAAGGAGAGAGGGGGGGGGTAAGAGAAAGGATGAAAATGGGAAGTAAAGCCAAGGAGGAAGAAGAGAGGACAAATGTCAATATAGATATAAACAGTAAATTATATATATATATATATATATATATATATATATATATATATATATATATATATATATATATATATATATATATATATGTCTACTACTGCTACTACTTGGTCTAGTATGCTAGGTCCGGTTTGCCTAACAGGCCGAATGATTTTCGTTATTTTCAAATATATCTTTCTAGAGTGGTTCTTTTCTAACAATAATAA